CACATCATTTCAACGTGGATAATTAGGTAATATTTGGTTGAGATGTTGATTAATGATATTAATACCTATATTCACCCACTCAAAAAGACAGCCAAAATATAGCTGAATTTCCAATGCATTATCATTTTGCTTTCAAATATCTAAAAGCAGAACCAAATTCCAATGAAAAAACTATGTCAGATTTTTGGTTTAATGTCACCCAAATGTCCATGACTGCACTTTCAAGTAAAGTTTAAATGTTTGTTTATTTCCCGGAGGGTAACTTCTGCCCAGAGAAAGTTTGGAACTTATGCCGGGTGTACACGACAGGTCATATATCGTGCAAGATCTTGGCACATTAAAATAACTTAATGTCATAAACATTTAGTCTGCATGGTGTTAATGTTCTCTCCACCCACAAACATGGCAAGTAAATATCTGGTCTAATAACAGTGGCATCGGTGCCAGAATTAGGCTGTTTTGGCAGATATATCAAACAATAAACCTTGGCTGCAGTGACGATGAGAGCACAGTCCAAGAAATGAAAAGGCCTTGATGGGGTCCTTCCAGATGGTCAGCCCCCTGCTCAACTAGTGTATCCAGTAGCTCCCCCCTTTGGGGCTTCTTGTAGGGGAGACCAGGGTTGGTTGTCTCACGGGTTGGTTGTCACAGTTCTAATTATTCCCAATCTAAATGGTGCTGTGTAATATTTTTAAGGTTAAAATGTTTGAATTCTCAGAGCTTTCGTAGCATTAAAATCATCTTGAGAACCTCTTTAGTAGCTGAGGTGTTTTCTAGGGCCTTCGTTAGTAACGTGTCTCTTAAAAACCTTTGCACATCTAGGAGTGATCCAGACCACTCGTAGAGCAGCCAAAGTGCATCGTTATTCACAGATCTCTGCTAAACATAGAATCAAGATAATTTTTGCCTCGGTGTTTCATGATGTGCAGCAGCATGTGTGCAAATAATGTTCCAAATCTGTGATTTAGTGCATTATTATAGGGTAAGCATAGTAAGTCGCCTCAATTGCCTCTTTGCAGTCAGAGGCGATAATATCTCTCTAGGAGCTGATCCGTCGTCAGTATTGTGGAATAATTATAATGTTAAGGTAAGATTTGAATGGAGAAAGCAGATCCGAGAGCAGCGCTGCTTTTCTTTCGATCCTATCAGTATTGACACATGGTCGAACGATGCATTTAGCGAACGCTTTCTCTACGTGCTTGTTTGGGAAAAGTTGGCTCGTAAATAACGATGCATCTGGTGCGGTCATCGTAATGCTTAAGTTACATCGCAACTGGGAAACGAGGCCCTGATAAATTCATGTCAGCATGACAAAACATTGATGTGAGGGGAATTTATGTTTCTTTGTAAATGTTTGAACTATGGGAGTATCCATGAATTACAGTGGGGAAAAAAAGTATTTAGTCAGCCACCAATTGTGCAAGTTCTCCCACTTAAAAAGATGAGAGAGGCCTGTAATTTTCATCATAGGTACATGTCAACTATGACAGACAAAATGAGATTTTTTTTCTCCAGAAAATCACATTGTAGGATTTTTAATGAATTTATTTGCAAATTATAGTGGAAAATGAGTATTTGGTCAATAACAAAAGTTTCTCAATACTTTGTTATATACCCTTTGTTGGCAATGACACAGGTCAAACGTTTTCTGTAAGTCTTCACAAGGTTTTCACACACTGTTGCTGGTATTTTGGCCCATTCCTCCATGCAGATCTCCTCTAGAGCAGTGATGTTTTGGGGCTGTCGCTGGGCAACACTGACTTTCAACTCCCTCCAAAGATTTTCTATGGGGTTGAGATCTGGAGACTGGCTAGGCCACTCCAGGACCTTGAAATGCTTCTTACGAAGCCACTCCTTCGTTGCCCGGGCGGTGTGTTTGGGATCATTGTCATGCTGAAAGACCCAGCCACGTTTCATCTTCAATGCCCTTGCTGATGGAAGGAGGTTTTCACTCAAAATCTCACGATACATGGCCCCATTCATTCTTTCCTTTACACGGATCAGTCGTCCTGGTCCCTTTGCAGAAAAACAGCCCCAAAGCATGATGTTTCCACCCCCATGCTTCACAGTAGGTATGGTGTTCTTTGGATGCAACTCAGCATTCTTTGTCCTCCAAACACGACGAGTTGAGTTTTTACCAAAAAGTTCTATTTTGGTTTCATCTGACCATATGACATTCTCCCAATCCTCTTCTGGATCATCCAAATGCACTCTAGCAAACTTCAGACGGGCCTGGCTTAAGCAGGGGGACACGTCTTGCACTGCAGGATTTGAGTCCCTGGCGGCGTAGTGTGTTACTGATGGTAGGCTTTGTTACTTTGGTCCCAGCTCTCTGCAGGTCATTCACTAGGTCCCCCCGTGTGGTTCTGGAATTTTTGCTCACCGTTCTTGTGATCATTTTGACCCCACGGGGTGAGATCTTGCGTGGAGCCCCAGATCGAGGGAGATTATCAGTGGTCTTGTATGTCTTCCATTTCCTAATAATTGCTCCCACAGTTGATTTCTTCAAACCAAGCTGCTTATCTATTGCAGATTCAGTCTTCCCAGCCTGGTGCAGGTCTACAATTTTGTTTCTGGTGTCCTTTGACAGCTCTTTGGTCTTGGCCATAGTGGAGTTTGGAGTGTGACTGTTTGAGGTTGTGGACAGGTGTCTTTTATACTGATAACAAGTTCAAACAGGTGCCATTAATACAGGTAACGAGTGGAGGACAGAGGAGCCTCTTAAAGAAGAAGTTACAGGTCTGTGAGAGCCAGAAATCTTGCTTGTTTGTAGGTGACCAAATACTTATTTTCCACCATAATTTGCAAATAAATTCATAAAAAATCCTACAATGTGATTTTCTTGATTTTTTTTCCTCAATTTGTCTGTCATAGTTGACGTGTACCTATGATGAAAATTACAGGCCTCTCTCATCTTTTTAAGTGGGAGAACTTGCACAATTGGTGGCTAACTAAATACTTTTTACCCCCACTGTATCTTTGTTGAAAAGAGGAAAGGGAGAGCTATATTTCAAACCTATTTTCTGACTTCCTAGGTCAAGCCATGAGGGGGTATACAGTAATGTATAGAGTATACCGCCAGAATACATTAAATGCCAAGATGAAAATGTCATATGCTTTCTTAAAGACTAAAATTCTGAATGTTGTTAGGAATATTGTTCATCAAAGAAAGACTTGGCTATTGCTAAGATTTTGTTTGCTCTATTGCATCACTTCCTCTTACCAAAATAATAACCCCACACTGTGTGACATCAGACCCTGTGATGGGGCTGGTTGTCACAACTGGACAGAGTTTGTTTGATGGCTCATAACTCCATGTTGGAATAATATATGAGGATAAAAAGGGTCCCCATTTCAACCCAGGACATTGGTTTCCTCATAATATGATAAGAGTCTTACCAGATATACTGGTGATGAGAAATACACACCAGAGTAAAAAGTGCCAACCAACCCCGATCTCCCCTACTAATGTGCTGGGTGGACACTGCACCCCAAACACACAGGGTGTATTCAGGTGGTGGAAATGTAATGTAAATGTAAAGGAATCTGTTACTTTATTGTAACTATTCCCAATTAATTTTATATCAGTTTTATTCAAGCCAGCTCAGCTGCTAAGCGGTTTACTTCAGAGTGTAATTCAAGTTTGAGGCAGCTATATTGCTGTCAGCAATATGAGTGGATAAGATTATTGAAATACTGGTATGGTGTTATGTAAGTCATAAGAATCCTACTGGACCGTTTTAGCCAACTGAAATGTGAGACAAATAAAAGCGCCTCCAGAATTCAATAGATATTACTGTAGATAAATAACACATTAGATTTAACTATTTTACAAGCTGTTATTGAAAGCCTAAATGTTTCCGTTCTAGCTTTTAAATATTATTTTAATATGAAACCTATTTTAGTGGTAGTGGGTAAACATGGACTCACTCCATTACAGTATATGAGGTTCAGTAGAAGTAACATTGGGATGAATCAAACTTTTGATATTGTCATAATTATTAGTAATGACATCTCTCATTTCTGTAAATTCTGTGAAATTCAATTCAGAGACAAACATGACATTAAAAAGTCATGTAATGGGAGTGTGGTGCTCCTGGAAGTGGGAGGCGCTAGTGAGACAGACACATAGAGGTCTCTCATCCAATTCATTTCCTTTCCCAGAGTGGTCCATAATTAACTTTTGCTTGGTTGGCACTTCCAACCAGATATAAGGAGGCTGAAGCCCCAGCATCCATAAGTCAGATACCTTCTTCCTCTGTGGTAAGACCTCTCCACCTCCTTAGATTTTTACATTTGTCTCATCTTTGCACTCAGCATCTGAGGCAGTAGCTAACTGCACTGTTTGAATTGACTTCTGCATGTCTCTTGTAAGATTTGACAATACGCTATCAAGTGGCATTGGTTAAAATTTTTTTTTTTAATGTGTTTTTCATTAAATGTGTATTACTTCAAATCTTGAATTTCCTTTTATGGCCAAAAGTGGTGCTCCTGCACTTGTTTGTAAATTGAGGGGGTGGTCTAGAATGTAACTGTGTTTTCAGGGGTATGTATTTCAATTCTTGACAGAATGTGTAGTAAAGTGAGATGCCACTAGGAAAATATAAGTTATCAGTTGCACCTGTAGTTGAATTTGACATGGCTGTAATTATTATTTAGTTAAATGTTTTTTAGCTGTTCGGGGGCTAAATGATAAGGCTTTAGACTTGTGCGTTTTCACAACATTCCATTTATTATTACGAGCCGTCCTCCCCTCAGCAGCCTCCGCTCCTTTAAACTTGTGTGTTTTCACAACACCTTATGTTTCACAGGGTCCTCCAAGAAGTACACATTCATCTGTAGAAGGGGAAAAAGAAGGTGAGACATGGTTTGAGTCTTCACATAAAAAGCGATGAGAATTTTCTGAGAGATACCGCTCACCTAACTCTGTTGACTGGGGAGGAAGCACCACAGAGTCAATCATGTTTCTTGTTTCATCTGTTTGCTAGTGATCCGTCACCATGAGTACGGACGCTGAGATGCAAATCTACGGCAAGGCTGCCATATACCTCCGTAAGCCTGAGAGGGAGAGGATTGAGGCACAAACCGCACCCTTTGATTCAAAGAACTCCTGCTATGTGGCAGACAAGGCGGAGCTGTACCTTAAGGGTCTGGTCACTGCCAGGGCCGATGGGAAGTGTACTGTAACAATCACCAAACCTGACGGCACTAAGGAGGTAAGCCTGATCTGAAAAGTATTCAAGTTCAAGTTCTTGGAATTACTCTATTTCATGACAAATCATCAAAATGATCAAAAACATTTCTATAGACAATATTAAATCAGTAACAACAGATAGATTAAACATTTATTTGTTTTTGTGTGAGCAGAATATAACCTTCAAACACATTTTAATGTTGCTATTTAAAAAAGGTATGGCATTTTTTTTATATTGGCTAGTCAAGTATGTCAGTGGGCGATAACAAAGAAGTGGATTAAATGGGGGATTGAACTGTAATGATAATGAGCAAAAAGCATTCAGTCACGTCCACTTTGATCTGTGTGTAATCTAGATTTCTGACTGTTTCAGGAAGGAAAAGAGTTCAAAGATGCAGACATCTACGAGATGAACCCCCCTAAGTATGACAAGATTGAGGACATGGCCATGATGACCTACCTGAATGAAGCCTCTGTGTTGTATAACCTCAAAGAGCGTTATGCAGCATGGATGATCTATGTAAGAAACATGCACAACCACATACATAATAAATACACAAATACAGTACTACCATACAGTGGTCCCAAAATATTCACACCCTTGAAAAGGATTAGAAAAAATGACTCTATAAATAAGTAATTCAAATACTGAGCTATATTGTGTGCTTAAAAATGGGGAAATTATAGTATTTTATATTAATACAATTGCTCCGAGAACGAGATTTGTATTTTTCTCAAAAAAGGTAAGGGTCAAAATTATTGACACCCCTGTTTTCAATACCTTTCAATACATTTACATTTACATTTACGTCATTTAGCAGACGCTCTTATCCAGAGCGACTTACATTATTATTATTTTTTGTAATTGTTTTCATACTGGCCCCCCGTGGGAATCGAACCCACAACCCTGGCGTTGCAAACGCCATGCTCTACCAACTGAGCTACATCCCTGCAAGGATAAAGGCACTGAGCCTTTTTCAAAAAATATTTTATGAGTTGGAGAACACATTGGGAGGAATCTTAGACCATTCCTTCATACAGAATCATTCCAGATCCTTGATATCCTTCGTCTGTACATATAAACTGCCCTCTTCAATTCAAACCACAGGTTTTCGGTGAGGTTCAAGTCCGGAGACTTAGATCGCCTTTGCAAAAGTTTGATTTTGTGGCCAATTAACCACTTCATTGTGGATTCTGATGTGAAGGTGGGGTTATTGTATTGCTGGAAGATGCACTTGCGGCCAAGTTTCAGCCTCCTGGCAGAGGCAACCAGGTTTTTGGCTAAAATATTCTGGTACTGGGTTAAGTTCATGATGCCTTTGACTTTAACAAGGGCCCCAGGACCAACGGAAGCAAAACAGTGCCATAACATCAACGATTCACCACCATATTTTACAGTAGGGATGGGGTTATTTTCTGCTTATGCATTCTAATTTCAGCGCCAAAACCATCACTGGTTGGCTTACCCAAAGAGCTCTATTTTCATGTCATCCCAAAAAAAAATGGTTTGCTAAACGGCATTGGAACTTGGATTTGAACCAGTGCTTTGGTCAGATAACATGAAAATAGAGCTCAATAATGTTGATCCCTATCTTTTTGAGAGAGAAAAATATTACCTGTTAAAATATTAATTTATTTCAAGCAGTTATATTAGTATAAAATAATATAATTTTCCAGTTTTTGTGAGCATACAATATAGCTCAGTAAAGTGACACCACTGTAAATGAACGGTAGAAACCAAAACATATCCATACAGTAGACTCACATCAGTATACCAAAGTACACCCACATCCTCACATAAATCCAGGTAAAAGTTCATCTGACTTCGTTAATCCCCTAATTTAATGATGCTTTCATCCAGACCTACTCTGGGCTCTTCTGTGCCACGGTGAACCCCTACAAGTGGCTCCCCGTGTACGACGCAGAGGTTGTCAACGCCTACAGAGGGAAGAAGAGGATGGAGGCTCCACCCCATATATTCTCCGTCTCTGACAACGCCTTTCAGTTCATGATGATTGGTACGGGCTATCATGGATGGATGGATGGATGGATGGATGGAAGTTAAAATTTTATGTAGAGAGATATCTACTGTTTTCTAGTCTAGCTTAGAACAGTTTGCTGGGAATATCTGATTTCACTAGCCTTGAATGGGAAATGTTCCAAATTGAAATGAATGATGATGCTATGAATGCAATAATGTACCCATAATGTTGCTTGAGTATAATAAGGAATATGTTTTTTGGTTACAGATAAGGAGAACCAGTCTGTCCTGATTACGTAAGTGGTTTACTAAAATTTCATTCTGATGAACTAATTATATTGTAATACGTTGGGTCACTTGGGTGTGATGAAAATACATGACATTATGAATGGATTATGACACTAGGCTATGCGTAATAATGAGTCGATGAGAAGGAGTATTTATTGAAGATTTACTTATGTTAGGAAACAGGTCAACAGTGTATTTTTCTATGCTATTTCTTAGTGAAAGCCAATCTGACACTCAAACATGTAACTAAACTCCCTCTTTCTCTGTCATATAAACCAGTGGAGAATCCGGTGCAGGAAAGACTGTCAACACCAAGCGTGTCATCCAGTACTTTGCTACCATTGCAGTGTCTGGTGGCAAGAAGGAAGCAGACCCCAACAAAATGCAGGTAGGTTGTGCTCATGTTTTCCTTTTTAACACATTTCAGTTTGGTTGGCTGTGCAAACTTTTTTTTCAGTGGTGAATCCTGTTTCAAGAAAAGGGTTGAAGCAATTGAGAAAAACAAACGTTAAAATTCTACCCGTTTTTGAGCAACTTGTGTTTGTCTCAATCAGGGGTCTCTTGAGGATCAGATCATTGCAGCTAACCCTCTGCTGGAGTCTTACGGTAATGCCAAAACAGTGAGGAACGACAACTCGTCTCGCTTTGTAAGTATGAAGGGCATACTGTGGAAGTTACCTTATATTGGAAAAATGTAATTCAGTAGTTCCCTACTGTTATGCAGATGTATGATATTATTTTGATCACTCTGTTAGGATTTTGATTTATTTGTTGACCTATTTCTAACCCCCATGCACTTCTATAGGGTAAATTCATCAGGATTCACTTCCAAGGTGGTAAACTGGCTAAAGCTGACATTGAGACCTGTGAGTTGGTTTTGATTGTTTCTCAATGCTTTCCTAAATTCACACAGATTATTTTTAAGAGATTATCAAAATTAAATGTATCTCATGTTCTCTCTCTCGCTCTCTCTCCTTTTGCTCTCTTTCTCCCTCAGACCTGCTAGAGAAGTCCAGAGTGTCCTTCCAGCTGCCCGATGAGAGAGGCTACCACATCTTCTTCCAGATGATGACAGGCCACAAACCTGAGCTAGTTGGTACGAAAAGAAGAGGTTTATGGGAAATTCTTCCCACCCCCATCTGTGGAATTTATAAAAAATATTCATAGTCCACATCAATGGCAGTCGGTGCCGTTTATTTCTATTACAGCATATTGGATGACTGTCATTCATATTCCATTCACCCAGCTCAATGTAACATCGATAGGTTTAGGCTACTACATGAAACTATAATTTTCCTTATACCCATCATGAGGTTGCTACAACCTAGCCTATGAATGAAAGTTTTCAACGTAAGTGCACAGGTCGAGAGAAATTTGAGTAATCAAGGTGACAGACATTGACACATTCAATACCGCCTTGCACAATCTTGCCTGCATCTAGCTGATCTAGTGTAATCATTAGTTCAACAGTTGCAAACAATAGTTTCTATTTGGACAAATGCAGGTAGGCTATGTTTATCCCCGTTTCGTTCAGTTTGCTTCCGTTTAAGAAACGTTTTTTCAACAGAATCGGCAGAATGAATACACCCTAATCCCACGCAAACACAGCTCACCTTCATATAGGGGTGCGCCGAGTAGTTGGACAAAATTAGTATTGTAATAGATATGGGCAATTTTCTGGATACGATTATGATCTGAGTATTTTTTCTAATTATCTGTGATCGGAAAAAAAAGTTATTTTCGGGTGCCAGCAAGCATCATTCTCATGTCAGTCAGTCACAGAGTTTCTAAACCATACTGTACTGTCTTTGAGTCAGTAATGTGCAGTCTAAATAACTCAACTGGCTAGTTCGCCTGTCTGTAAAGAGAAGGGCGGGCTATACATTGATCCTGCTGCTCTGATTGGATAGAGTGAAGCTGCTCCATACTCTCGCTTCATCATTTCTCCCGATCACTTTTCGTCGCATGTTTTCAGTCTGATCATTTAGATTGCTACTGCCTGCTACTATGATAAATCACATGGCGAGGACGTTTGCTATCAATGTGCATAATACTGTGGGGCAAGGGTAGGGAAAAATATGAAACTAATGCACATTCTGACTGAGTGAACGCAAACTTGGCTGCCTGCTGCAAGTTGAGGACACAGACACACACACAGACCCACTCCTCTGCACGCTGCTCCTAAAATGCAGCTTTTTTGCAGTGAGAACGTGCAGGGAGGTATTTTGCCATCTATTTAGGTATATTAAAACACTTCCGTTTTTTTCCGATCACCATCCGATCCGACTATCAACTGTTAATTTACGGATACGTTTACAAATACAAGTATGGCCATGTTGGCACACCCCTACTTTAACAGCAGCCACATACAAACAGCATGAGCCCTTGACGTGGATAATCTTTGCATCAGCTTCTCTCTCC